TGTTAGAGAGTATATATATTTCATTTTTCTAGTAAATACAATTTTTGTCCAGCTCATGCCGAATTCACATCATATTTGATATTAATTAGTGTACACGTGAATAAATTTCTAAATTTAAACATTATATATTATGAACAGGAGCAGCTCAGCCTATATGTTTTGTCCATAAAATAAAAATCTTCTTCTTCAATTGCTGATAACTTTAATTTCTACAATATTTTATTCTTTTAAAAATTTATATAATTTAATATTCAATTTCCATCTTATACTAATGTTCATAAAAGTTCCTCTTAACTTGACACCACTTGACAAAAATATTAGGTTATGCAGTACCTACCTTTCGAAACAAATCCACTGGCGGTTTTTCAAACAAGACTTGCACTGGCGAATGATAAATATGCAGCAACTTAAAATTTGGCTCATAGTCATATGAAAAGAACCGATGTTGTCTACTATTTCGCGTATACTAATTTGGGGACTGTCTTCTATGAAATCAAGGATTTTGTTCGTATAAAATGGCAACATAGTTCAAACATTAAGTATCATATCACATTATTACCTGTAACAACAACTGTTCTACTGTGACAAACTGACCTCTCTAATGGTCTAATGATTGCTTCAACAAGATTTAAACGTTAAAATAATAAACGACTACTATAAGTTGACGTTAACGTAAGCATCCTAAATCACATTTAATCTTATCTAACAAATCAACAATACATGAGTAAAAAATACAAAACAAATACTACTTTGATGCTAGTAATTACTAGTTGATTGAGTGCGGCGTTGCGGGTCGTAATTCTTTATCAGAGTCGGAATTTAATTTACCTCTTTAGTTTCATGAGTATGAACTCTTCAACAAAAACCAACCAGGCGTTTGAAGTTTTTTTACTAAAAGTAATATAAATCCAATAAATGTAATTTAAAGTTTTTGAGGTGCTACCTTTGCTCCGTTAGTTTAAAGCAGATGGTATTATCGAATACACGTAGTTAAAAAAATATATTCCAGACGTTACCCAAGTTAGGTTAGTATTTGAATAAAAAGAAAAATACCGACAAGTTAATATGTAATTTTTACATGTATGTATGTTCGGTGAACGTCATGCTTTACCAATGTTTGCAATCATATCTATGCATACACACGTTAGAAGTTATCCTTCTATTTACGTATTTATTTAGGAGGTAGATGCATAATGATAATTATGCATTTATTTAATTTAAACGTTGTTTTAGATTACAATTTGCAGTTGCTGTACGCTCAACTTTAGTCACGTCTTTAGATCAGAAACATTAAGTTTTTATTATATTCTCGAAGTAGTTCTATGTAATTTATTAAAATCAGGAATTAGTTTAAAAATATAATTTTTTATTTTCATGCCCCAAATACATAGTAGTCAAAATATTATAATGGTTAGCAACTACTGTATTGATTTCGAGTTAAAACACAAATAGTAATTTCATTCTAAATCATTATATATTATAAAATTAAACACATAAGATGTAATTTCTTCAGAAAAAAAAATATTTAAGTGTAAATAATGTAAATACAAAACCTACTGTAATATCCAAAAATTTAATAATTGAAAACGTAAACCAAAGCTGTCAAAATTATTGTGTGATAATAAGTACTCATAGAAAAGTTGGCATTATGACAAATTAAAAAAAGAGTAAAGAGTTTCATCATAGAAATAATTGTTTGTTCGTATGTGAAACAATAAGAACACATTCATAAATGTATGTACATTATTTACGTAAATAAAATTATAATGGTCACAGTGATAATAATTGTACAGTAAAGCAAGTGTACTTGCCATTATGAATGTGATAATGACTGCTGCATCCTAGAAAACAATTATTTCTGGTGATTAAAATAGTAATTGATTTTTAGCTTGCTTTTCTTATTTCCAATGGTGCCCTTCTTCACCATAATTTCTTAAAATATCACTTAACAATTACTGTGACTCGTGCGTCAAACATAAAAGATACCGCGTTTGTACCTGCGTCTGGCGCCATTACTAATTTGCAATGCCATGTTTCGAAGAATTATAAAATTTCCTTTCAGAATCCGTACTCTATAACTTTTAACCAGTTTGGGTGCTTCTGAATTACTCCGTCACAAATATTTAAAGAATGCTGTCGAATTTATTGAGTTTTAAATTTATAGCAGTAATCTTGGCAGGTAGAACGACATAAATTTTCTGTCATCTTTTTTACTTAAGGTTGTCTCAGAAAAACAACCTATCTTCTTTAAGGTAAGAAAAATGCAGGTATTATATAATTAGCCATGCGTAATCAGTAGAGTTCGGATTATGTGCATATATGCAAGCATATTTGTAAGACTTTCCAATAATACGTATGCATTTAAACTAAATGCATATTTTAGTAAAATTCCACTTATTATTTTCAAATAATCATACAAATGCTTTGAATAGGGTTGCATAAGTTGCCAGACTAGAATACCCTGATGTAAATAAATTGATTGCGAATTTAAAAAAAATGTTTTTCAAATCTTCCTTTAGAGTTTTTTCTACCTACTTAAAAATACAAGGTAAGTAACTTCGTTAAAGTGTGTGTCTTTTTATGCAAAGAATTTCTAAGAAATAAAAACTGTAATTAGTGAATCCTACACTGAAAAAAATGTACGTAATATCAGATTTTCCATTCATTAAAGAGAATTACATGGGACATGGTAACAAATGTTATGTAACAATTTTTGATTTCCTCAATGAACAAATGTTTTTAACAGTGGTAAGCTAAGTACAAATAATGTTCATTGGCAGAATGAACAGAATTCATGTTAGGGACAATGAACATATTCATTACATATTTCTTAAGCTTTATATGTGTACCTAGAGCTAAATAGAGATTAGCCCTACCTTCTTTTGTCTAAGCTTTAAATTTTAATCAGTAATACTAATAAAACTGATTAAACAGGAAATTGGGGCTTGCATATTTGGGTGGTCGCGATTGAGATTATAAACAGTACATAGGTACTTTAGAATTGGCGTACTATACATGCAGTTCTCCAAAGATTAAACATACGTATAGTTAGGGTTGCCATCACCTAAATTGCCGACGCCGGATAAATACAGCAAAAATCCCGGACATTTGGGCGAAATATGTTTTTTTCCCCGGACACCTCTCACCCTTTTGCAAGAAAAATAAAAACATCTGTATAATTCTTTTAATTTTTATTCATTTATACAGCTTGTAATTAAAATCGAATTAAGTACGTATGTAACCGCAACAAATAATAGACATTTTTAATATAATTAAACACTCTTTCTGAGGTAATATGGTAACAAAAATAATTAGAAACGCTCTTTTTTTGGCATTAATCAAATTATTATATGATGCTACTAATAACTAACTAACTATAATACTTTATAATTTTAAAATAAACCACGCCAATGATATTTTCAGTCATATATGTAGTTAGGTAGCCAAATCCCTATAATATTTGTAAGTTAAATGTACTTAAGTAACTGCTAAAACTTTTAATTTTAACGAAATCAATTTTTTTTACTTATTTTGCTATTTTTCAGTTTTCCCAATTTTTGCTAAAATATCTTTCTTTTCCAACAAGAATTTGTAGAAGTTAGAACAACTCAGATCCTTGAAATTATACATGGTTTTGATCAGAGAAGAAACCGTGAGTATGTTAAGGAAGTTTCTTTCTTCCGTCTATTGCTAGGTGACTAGCGAAAACACACTCTACGTTCGCATTGTCAATGAATTCATCGCTTATCTATAAAAAAAATTGGATTTCCCCTGACAACAAAAGTGTCCGGGTTACACCCGCACACTTTTTAAAAACCTCTGCTGGACGGCCCCCGGACGCCCTTCAAACTGTGACAGATTCAGGGAATCCAGGACGAATGACAACAACAATGGTGTAAATCTGTGAATATATGCAACAGCATCGTTATTACTAAAGTAAGTAAATTGTATACTTCAGTAACTATAACTACGTTAGGATGAACCTAATATTGTAATTTCTAATAGAAGGTATTAAATAATTAACAAGTAAGATTATCCATGATGTTATAGTAAAGGCACACATAAATGTAATAAATACTAATCTTCTTAATTCACTCCCGTAGTAAAAAAATATGCTATAAGTTATAAGATTAAAAAGTTCTAACGGTTTGAACAGGAGACTGTACGGAATAAAACGAGAAAGTCCTTTTATAGCATTTTATTCCATACTAATGTGAAATTTTCGAAACACAGATAGATTTTCATTTATGCTGAGCATAGTCCGAAAAATTATAACATATAGCTACCTATGTTTTTCAAAAAATCTATTCTACTTCCAGATCGAGAAGTTAATAATTTCATCAAAATATCAAGATGATTACAATTTTTTTTGCAACCGATGACATTGTTTTCTGTTTATTTACTATCCGCAAAATAGCAGTATTTGAGTATATGAAACTAGAAAATATTATACTACGATGTAATTTTAGAATATGATTATATTATATTTTGAACACGTATCTATATCTAAACTAAATATAGTATTATAATTTTAATGTAAAAATTAAGTAATTATAGCAAATACAAACAGGCACAAATAACCACATCAGCTTAAAAAAGGTATCTAGTCATTTCGATATTACAGATAGAGAATTGATAAATATACAAATAAAAAATAATAAAACTAGTAATAGAAGGAGGAGACTGTGGTAAATATTAATTAAAAAATTAAAAGGAATACTCACCCCTAATTACCACAAATAATTTTATATGAGCGGACACGTGTTTCGCCCACTTCACNTAAGTCTCGCGTTGATAATGCCCACGTGTGAAGTGTTGCGAAACACGTGTCCGCTCATATAAAATTTATTTGTGGTAATTAGGGGTGAGTATTCCTTTTAATTTTTTAAAACTAGTAATTTTTAGAATTATTTCTTATATTTAGGACGACATTGTTTCATAAAAATAAAAAATTGTGAAAATTAGGAGTTTTATTATTTTTTGATTGTTTTTTATTTTACACTTATTTACATTATGTTTGATTAAAATTGATCATTACACAATTTACGGCAAATTTCAAGCTGGAAAAAAAATACTGGGATATTGCGTACCCGAGATGCTATAATCAACCCCTAAAATCTCACCAAATTGATATAATATACACACGGTTACCAATTGTTTTTACATTTATCGTTGGGTAGTTTTACCATCCAAAAATTGTTTTTTAATAGTTTCATATTACCGGAACGGGTATCAACTGTGCATACTGTTTACTTTCGTTTATGATTAGACGTTGATTGCACATTCCAACCTATTCTTATTTTATTCTTTCAAAGATTCTTCAATACAACACCTACCTGCATAAATCTCATTGTTAGGCGCAAGTCTATACTAGCTGATGTTTTATTTAAATGATACATGCATAACAATGTTTGATTAGTCACTAGCAACAGTATATTGCTTACTATTAGCATGTCAGGTTAGAACATGCAAGAGCCTTTGTACAACTCGATGTTTTATTATGCCTTAATCACGACCCTGACCTTTTATAATAAAAATCAAACATTGCACATAAATAATTAAAATCTGTGCGATAATACGTCTAACTGGCAAATGAATGAAAAACGTGTGAGTGAAATGTACAGTGCAACACATTTTGCAATTAACTAGCGATTAAATTAATTAGGCGTTCAGGAAAAAGTGCACGTATGATACTTTCAAATGATTTATAATACATATAGGTATACATACATACATACCTTATTCCTATGTTGTATTTTTCCCTGCAAGAAAATAATTAATTAGTAGCTACTTACTTAGCGATTTATTATTTATTAAATGGGAAAATATTTGAAGGAGGAATAAATAAACATTACGGTAATTGTTTATTTTATGGGTCACACTTCCAATTTTCTTGAATGGTACATTGTGAAATTTAGAATACTGATCAAATATATGCATACCAAGGATACGTACCAGCTATGTTGGTTAGTAATTCCTCAAGGGTATCAATATTTAAAAAGAACAACCAAATTTGGGGCGAAGGTTCTTTTAATTAAATTTTACAATCTACTCTCCAACGTTTCGCCTTAAGATGTAAACTTCCTCAGAGCTAAAAATAATCAATAAATATGAAGTGAAACTTAACAAAACTATGATTATAAAGTTAAAACTTCAAGTTTTTGTCGTTCTATAGGAGCATTAACAGTACAAAGATTTTTTTTCACTCTTAGCTAATAAAACAACCACCTTCCTTAAATACCTGCTTTTTGCGGAATATCTTCTCTATATAAACAAAACAAACACAAAATTTAAAATATAAATAAGATAAATAACTAAAGTACCACGTGATAACAAACAACGGTCAGAATTAAAATTAACTTCTTAACCCATTAACGCCCAGCGGACGACCAATCACATGGAAAATATCAGGTTATTTGGGGTTAGATTCTTGAAAACAAACGGCAGTAGGTATTATTGCAAGTGGATAGAATTAATTATTGCAAGCAAATTTATAAGTAAGAAAAGTTGAAACTGGTTTTGTAAAAATGTTTCGTGATCGGAGACGTTTTTTATAGAGTGTGTTTACCAAAACTGAGCAGAAGGTAGGTTATAATTACAAAACATTCATACATGTTTTTTCTAAACTTTGACATAGTATACGTATTATAGCGAAACATTTTGTTATTGCTTCTTAAGATTGTTTGGAGTCATTTCATTAAAGATTTTGTTATCTACAAAAATGTGCTTTAAATTTTGCGTATGATATATCGTACCATTAGAAAGTATGGGAGGGTTTTGTGTGCATAGGCCAGTGGCTAATTTAGGAATTAGCTTGGGATAGCAGAGGGGACCCGGATATTTTTGGGACGTGCATTGTGTTGCACTTAGGGAGGGGTGGGGGTAAAAATTTAAATAATTGGGTTTGGTGAATGTATGCAGTACTTTTGTAATTTCTTCTGCCAGATCAAAGTAATAATTCAACTCCTCAAAACTTCTATAGGTATGCTGGAGAACTCGTTAATTATTTAGAAGAACATGAGTCCGATGATGACAAGCACTAGGTAGTTCAGGATTCAGAGCGTTTACATATAGTACTTTCTTCTTCCCTTCAGAAGATTAACAAGACAGTGATTAGGACGACGCTCCTAACGATGAAGGTAGTTCACCTAATATAAGTGATATTGACAAATGTGTCCTAAAGCAAAGTATAAAAGTCCAAACAATTCTCATAGATGATGAGAAAGTAGTTTTACAAAAAAACGTTATTTTATTATAAAGAATTTAAAAGATATGCTTCTAAAAAAAGGCTTTCATGATTTATCTGGGTATGTTCCAGTTGCGTCTAGGCGAATGTATTAGGAAACAAAGGGAGCTACGTTCGCCATGTCTAGGAACAAATTCGTAAGCATCAACAGATTTTTGCACTTCTGCGATAACGATGTAATTGATCAAAAAGATAAAGCTGTTAAAATGAGACTATTTATAGACCATCTAAATCGCATTTTCTCGGAATGCATTTAGCCGTTGTGTTTCGTTGGGTGAAGCAATGGAACCATATTATGGGAGACACAGCATGAAGTAGTTCATACGCGATGAACCTATCCGTTTTGACTTTGTTTTGGTTTATGGTTATGTTTAACCCCTATCTTTGAGCTAGCGATAAAGCTGCTGTAAAAATGCTAGGAAGCAATGCTACTGAGAAAATGTGCCTAAACTTTGTACCCAAGGAAAGCATCATTATTGTTGACAATTACTTTAATTCTCTAGCTTTACTTGAGACACTAAGTAAACATCAGTTGTACTGTGAACAATATTGTAATGTTCGTGGGTTTAACAAAATTAACTTCTGAACTGATAACGACAAAACTATTTATTTATACTAATTATTGAAGAACTTAAAAACACTATTAAATTATTACTAAACTTAGGTTATGAATTATTCTATTTATTTACACTACTATTGATATGTCACTATTCACTGCGCTATTTATTTCACTGTTATCGCTGTCAATTTATTTCAATTCACTTCTGCAACGGTCAATTTATTTCTACTCCCTCTCAGCGATCGTCTCTTCCCTTAAATACTCTTCTGTTTCCTTTCGGGAATTTTCTCGAAACGTCCGGAAAAGTTTCTTTTTCTTTGAACTGTTTAACTGCTTTCCCAGAACGCACACACATTTACAAATACGGCGCACATGAAGAAAGGCGTCCGCGGCTAGTAGGCGAATTGATAAGCCGCTCACACACACGTGTGCCCGATCGCACACAAACACGCTCGTGCTCGCTACAATATGATCCGACAGAGTAGAAAAAGCTCCTCTAAAGTAGCTGAAAAACGACAAACGCGGATCCCATTTTACTTTGTACGATAAAAATTCAAATAAAACACTCACACGTCGGCATGATAACAGTCATGTAAATATAGCAACCAATTTAAATGATGACAACATTTTCAAAACAAAAAGTTCATGTAGGCGTCAGTTCAAAAATTTAAGATCCAACAATTTTTACAATAAGGGAATGGGTGGATTTAACGGTTTGAATGAAATGCGAGGTCTATGCAGGTTTGTGACACGTTGTGATTTTCTAAAAAAGGTCACATCAATTCTCGTCGTGATGGGTATTGCACTTGCTCCAGCGTTACAGAACTACAATTAAATAACACCGCCTGATTGCTCAGGATTTACACGCGCTATTCAAAAAACATATTGGTTGATATACTTTGATATACCTTTGCAGACAATTACTTTATTTGTCTGATTGCTGAGTCTGAGTGTAATAATTTTTTTCTTTTGGTTCGGGTTTTTTTCCTTTCAAGTTATTTTCCAATTCAATTTTAAGTCGATGTAAGTGGATATGATGTCAATCCCGATCCGACGGAACTTGAACCTTGACGAAGCTCTTGTACAAACTAGAGTTGGTGGATCGGCTTGCGAGTTTCGATGATTTAAGGAGCTCGACCATAGGTTCAACCATAATGGAGGGGGGATTCTTAAAGGGAAACCAGACTAAGACAGTCCCAGAAAGAGGACAGCATTTCTTTTAGTATTCAGGCTGGCAGAGATTACGAGGATCGCGTGATAAGGTAGATACAAGGACATTCGAAATATTAAAGCAGGCGGAAGAAATGAATGACAGGGACATAGTGCACTAAAATGTGCGTAAAGTCAGCAGCTACAGGTGTACTAGATCTTAAACAAAAGGAAAGTAGGAAACCTTGGATAACAAACGAAATTGTTGAATTTATAGAAGAAAGACGGATATACAAAAACAGGACAGACGAAGAAGGGCAAAAAATATATAAGGCTATATATATGAGGCTTATCTTGTAATTAAAAGGAATTTTAGAGATGTAGGGTACAGTAGCAGTAATAAAAGAAACGAGGCATGGGTCATTTTGATAGAAAATGAGGAAAAGCTAGATAGGTGGAAAGAATATTTAGAGAACTTGAATTAGGAGATGTAGTACAGAAGGAATATAGTGTGTAGATAGGTGAGGTAGAGTATCCCATAATGAGTGAACTTCAATACCTACAAAAAATAATTGCCTAAATATGTGATTCCATTCAACTCTACTGGGGTGTTAAATAAGATTCTTTTAAATCTAGAAACAGCTAAATGTTCCTTAAATATATCGTCAATCACCCAACGATTCCAACCCAACCTACGTAACGTTTGCTGTGATTTTTACGTTTGATACAGTAAATTCTAGCTGTCTCATAAATTTTTATTTTATTTTTTAGATGAACTAAAAGAACACTCTAGGGTAAATGAGTTTTTTGTGTTTAAAAATCTATTTACCTAACACTACATACTACTTGCGAAAAAGGACACGCACATTAAGCAAATGTTAAATATATTTTTGTTACTTGTTAGTAACACTTTAATATATTTATCATTAAATTTTTGCTTTTGTATTATTCCATAAGGACTTTGAGCTCTCTATTCAAACAAGAACAATTCAAAGGACCTATTTAGATGTATCTTTTTTTACATATTTGACCTGGCTGAGTGGGGCCCGAATTCGTTCTTCTTACTTCCTACTATGTTTTTGATACCACATGAGAATTGTTAGTACTTTTAATAAAACATTCCAAGAGGTCGCATTTTTAGTAATTTTCGTAACCATTTTAACTAGGAAAACTCAAATTAAAATAAATTTAAATGATCAATGAATAATTACTGTCATATAGATTACAGACACCTATCAGAAACCAATGTAGAAAAGGCATAAGGTAAACTACGAAAAGATTATTTTCGTTATTAAATGCTTACCCATTAAATACGACCCTGCATATTACCTAAATATATTTGAAAAAAAAGTTATCTTTTTAACTAATGTCAATGCACAGCCAAGTATGATTTCTGTTAAAGAAATACAAGTTTATGTGATAACTCGAATGGGGATAATTTTTTTCAAGTTTTCTGACCAGTTATTCTGGGTAAAAAAATGCCTGAAGAATGTAAAAGTTGTATTTTTTTCTAATGGTACAAATAATCGATAAGTGGACATGTGGCCAAAATTCGAAATGTCCAACTTTCGTTTCTAACTCGGAAACAAAAGACGATAAGGAGTTTTTGAAAACACTAATAAATTTGTCTTAAGAAAAGAGATCTCCTGTAGTTACCGAGTTGTCCCATATAAACGTCGAAATTAGCTTACCCTATTCATAAGAAAGGGAATCGACGTCTATTAATAACTTTAAACGATTTTTTTTCTCTAAAACTAAAGAATAAATAAGGCGTCACACTAACACTGCGAGGTTTTGAACATTTTGTTATAATCTAAAGTGTAAGCATATGCTGGATAAATTAAGAAACGATTGCCATGTTTCACGAATGTTTTAGTAATTGATAACTTTTGATATTTCATTAATAAACTAGACTAACTAATCGATAGTATGCTTATATCGTAATTACAACATTCTGGAGCTTTTCTAGAACGCTTTTTAGACCATCATGAGATTGAATCATTATGTGCAAATTGATTGGTTGAGCGTAATGTCGGTTAGTGCAGATTTCAAATTGGTTAAGAAAATTAAGAACAATTTAGGGTGGGAACCATATAAAGGACCCAATTTCGTGGTCTGAAAATCAAACAATCTGTAA